AGTGATTACATAAGCATTAGTCTTGTTTACCAATGACATTTTGGTTAATGTGTATCTGTTCAGTGAGCTGACAGAAGATGCTGGCATCTTGTGACTGTTCCATGCCAAGTCAGGTGTGATCTGGTTGAGCATGATTGCACAAAATCTTGGCGTCTATTGACATGATCCCAAACAAAGGGTGTCACTCCAGCAGTAGCATCCAGCAAGTACTTCTTTTATCATTAAAGTGCATTCTGACATTCCTTTTAAAAGTCAGACTCAATTCAAATTTGTGCATATATACTCTGATTAGGTAAATCTATTTCCTAAAAAACCTGATATTAATTCAATGCAAATCTTCAGTGATTTTCCAGACTGAGATATTTGAGTCATGCTTTTTCTGTGGAACTCAATCAAATTTTTAGAACCCACTATTTCTTTTAGCAACTGGAATTGCTTGAAAAAATTGTACAAAAAATACTGATCTTATTGACATGGGAATAAATAAACAGCACAATTTTATCAAGCTTTCTGCACCAAAATAATTGAAAATTCCACATTACGTCCAATATTGGATAGCATGAATGTGTGTTAAACAAAGTTTTAATCAGCATCTTTTTAAGCCACAAGTCTCTTAATATCAGATGACAACATTTGCCCACAATGTGAAACAATATCAGGCCTATTTTAGAGATCCCTGTCAGAGATTATTGAAATTATATGGTACAATATAGCAGATGTATGTTATTGTAGATATTGTTTATTCACGCCATAATGCTCAAGACTTAAAAAATAATTTCATACCATCAGTCACGATTCAGTTGAACTGATTTCAGCGCAACAAAAAAAAAATAGGATGGTATTGAAATAGAGGCAAGAACACACATGTTTACACTAGTATAAAAAACGACAAGCTCATTTATTTTCTGCCCCAACAGGAACTGATCATCTGACAGGTAAATTATCACCGTTCGACCTTCATCAATATCACTAGAGAACACAACACCGCTAGGCTTAGCTTTACGGAATCAGGGAAATTGTAGCTCCACAGAAAAATGTGTGTGGAGCCTGCCCCACACTGAGTGAGTCATGCAATGGGAGGTGTGGACGTCATTCAATAATAATATGTGATGCTTACAAGATCTTATCTCGCCTAATTGCAGCTAACAATTCCACTTAAAAGTGGCCATCAGCATCATCATGTCCAAACACTCTCTGTTTACACCACTATTTACTTTACTGATTTCTACACATAATTGGTTATTAACGAAAGCCAATTAATCTATGTTGATAGTTATTACTTTAGCAAAAAATAAATCAACGTCCTTCTGTCCTTCTCATATTTGGTTTGTTTAACAGTCATTTCTTTTCCACAAGATAATCTGTCACCATTCACAGCTTCTGTTTACATGCCACATTATTGCAGCTCGCTTTGAGAACCTGAATAGTCTATTCTATACCAATGTTTGACTTCAATCACATATCTGTTTCATGTAATAGAAAATTTTCAGACTTGAACAGTTCTAGCTCTTTTATATAAATCATCACAACTCATTTATCGCATCATGATGAAACAAGTATTTGATCATGATAAATGTGTTATTGGCCAATAAGCAATGCAATTTATTGCATGACTTTCTCATTATCTTTTTTTTTCTTTTCACAGTTTAGAACAATGATACTTAATACACAAAATCCCATAATGCTATTTTCATGTTTGATAATGAAGACACTACTATGGTGTTAAATACAAATACATGTAAATTAATTCACATCCACATGTATTCCTGATGTATTTCATCATTATCAAAAGATTTCTACCACCTGAGAAATTGCTAACTCAAAATAAACAAATTAAGTAATCACCTAGTCTTATCAAATTTTCCAGGCTTTTAACTTCAATTCTCCAAATATGGGTTGAAAGCAAACTTCCCCTACCTGACAGCCATTAAACCTGCCATCAATAACAGAACCCAGTTTATTATGACAGCCTGAACATTTTGCCAAAAACACAATTCTCTTGGGGCTCTACCCATATAATAGCTACATCCATTTTTTATGAATCTCTTACTCCAACCTTTAATCCATTCAGATATCCACAAGGTTCCCCCTGCTGATACTTCAATGCATTCAGATGGAAATACAACATACCAACACCACATACCACAACCTCAATTATGTTACATAGATTATTTATTGACCAATAATTATAACATCATCTTAACCTGATGCTTCACAAGATTATAATTCATATTTTTTTTCCGTCCTCAAAGATGTACTACTAAATTAATAAATAATACCGAAATTACTTTGGTGCATTCAAATTTTAGAGCAGTCTCTAAAGTTTCTCAATAATTAATAAAAAAAATTAATATGATCAAAAGAAATTGACACAAAGACAACATCAAGAAGCTTTAGTATAATCTTAATTTAGCAAAATGGATTCAATATAAAAATCCCACCTAAATCATGAATATTTATACTAATGAATTCAATATGAATGCATTTTTACCATAAGTATTATTTATTCTGACCTTAATTCAGAAAGAAAGAAAGATAATATATTTTGATACCTTTAAAATGTAGTAAAAGATGAACACAATTTTTAATATATCTCTACCTAGTGTTAATTATATGAATTGATTAGCAAAATATGATTTAAGTCATAATCATCATGGCATTAAAATCCTCGTACCAAATTTAACTATACAAATAATACCAAGGCATTAAAATCCTAGCCTAAGTTTTACTGCTCAGAATAGCAAATGAGTTTTATTACATAGAATAGATTATCACAATAAAAACTCAAGCTTGAGTTTACTACACACACAAAAATTCTAACCTGAGTTTAACTACATAGGAAAGTATGGTATTAAATTTCTAACCTGAGTTTTACTATACACAACAAAAGTCAGACATCAAAATGCTTAGCCTATTTTCTACAATACACAGAAAAGAATATCATTAAAATCCTTAGCCTAAAGAAAAGAATGAAATTGAGAAGTTGATAAAAATACATTAATTGCAGGAAGAATTCTTTAATTTTGTACAAAAATTAATTTCTGAAGAAAAGACTGTTACAGAAGGGGAATAACTCCTACTAATTAAATCTGGACTAAAATGAGCACATTTTCTATTGTTGATACAAAAACTCATTTGACTTTTATATGATTACCATAAATAAGGAATAATACATCCTCTTTCTGATAACATGCTAAACAGACATCAGATGTACTGCATAGATTAAGGTGACAGCAATGGATGTAAAATGTAGGTCAGTGGTTCTTAGGTGATATTTGGAGAATGTTATAGGTAATTATTCAGTAGGTTTTTCATCACATGACTACCTAGAAGTGTGTATAAACTTAAATAGAATTCTGACAATGGACCTCATCTCACAGCATTGTGATGTCATACAGAGCAACTTAAAATTGACGTCATGATTGCCATATTAAAAAATTTGTTAATATTAAAAGAAATATGACTTAAATATACAATATAGGAACAAGAAGAAAATAATATGTCAACTTAATTATAATCAAAAGTCAAATTCAATAAAACTAGGGCAAAATAGGAACAAAAGAAAAGATTTACTTCTGAAACAGTACAAGGAGAATAAGACCAAGTGTTCCAGAAGGGTAAACGTCCTCTACTTCATCAACATCACCTGCCATGTAAATCTTGGTCAATCCAAGCAAGTAGTGGCATGTTCTAAATGAGAACAAGGTTCTCAATGTACAACAACGGAACCAACAGACAAATTCATGAGCATCAAACACATCCAGTTTCATATTGCTCAAAGAAATAGATTATTTCTCCATAGGATCACTATGGCAGCAATAAAACTTCCTGAAAATTTTTATCAACCTGCATCATTTAAAAACCTGTGTTATGACTTTGTCCACTAGTTGATGACTTCTTGCACAAAAATCATAATGATGGTAACAGGCCCTTAAATATTGAATCAGCTGCGATATGTAAACACCGTATGCTGGGTATGCTAGAATGTTGCTATCCAGGAATGAAAAATTTCCAATAAGGAATTTAAATTCATGTTATTCAAACAGCTTGGTGGAAAGCAGTGATGTTGGTTTTGTTGTAGTAAAATACTGAGATACGTGACTGATATAAAAAAGTCTGTTTATTTCAACTTTTGGTGGGTATATAACACGGATGTGGTCAAAAACTTTCTTGTTATTTGGAGACATGACATCATCATAATATCTGAAAGTGAAAATAAACAATTTTGCAAGGTTTTCGTGACTTGTTTTGGTAAGCTCTTTGAGATATTCAGCCTTGTATCATGGCACAAAAGATGAAATATGAGGCTCCAAACATTTAACAGAATAAAGGTTTTTGTCTGATTTGTTGGTTAGTTGGATCTATTGCCCTATACACAATAATGGTCATTTTAAGGCAGGGTCTTCTGGAGGCTACCTCAACTGAACATCATACAGAAGGACCGTCAATGTCATCCAAGGTAATTAGGGTAAAGTGTCTTGTCTAAGGACACAGCCATGTTAGCACAGACAAGGTGCATTTTTCAGCTTCCACAGAAACACAAACTGTTAGGGGTTTAGAGCATCAAACCATGCAACTCGGTTCTTCACCTAAATATACATAGCCAAATGCTTTTCCCAACTTAAAATGCAGTCCCTACACTGCAGAGTAAAGGCAAAACCAAGACTTGAAAAGGACAAATCAGAAAGCAAAAGTTAGTAGAGATCTGAAGAACAAAATGGTGCATGGTAAGGAATATGAAACAAGTAGGATTCAATAATAACTGTCCATGAAGATCAAGACTTGCATTTTATTATATGAGGAAGGCATAATCAGGAGTTTTAATTTAAGGCTCAAGTCCACTCTTCATGGGAAGGGCATGGATGTACAACAATGAAGAAGAGTTTCTTTATCCACATTTGATGCCTTTGAGATTTTAGAAAAGATGCTACAGGCAATATGCCTTTTCTTTTCACTCTATGTTGAACATATTAAAAAAAAAGGTATTAAAGATATCTTACCTTATCAAGGCCTGCTTTAAGAAGTTCTACAAGGGAGTCACTGTCTACAAGATTACACACAGGCTCCTCCTGACCTTCGGCCTCAGCTGCCTCCTCTCCACATTGGTCACTGGAGTCTAGAGCCTCAGAATCAACAAGCTGGTCCATAAACGTGTACATGGTAGTTCTTCCTTTTAAACACCTAATATTAAAATCCCCATCTTGCTCACAACCATTAAGTAACAGGTGGATTTCTTAAGCCTTTCTGATGTTTGAAGAAATCCAGGAAAGAAACATCTTAAAACCTTTTCCGTGACTTTTTGACCAAGAAAATAATGTTTCAAAAGTTACTGAACTTTTCTTTCATCTGACTACCCATTATCTTTGGTTTTCTGCTCTATTTTGATTGTCCTTTCACTCTGGCTGTCTCCAGGGATGTTCTGGCTTTTTTAATCTTTCTCCAAACAGAAGCACCAGGCACATCCTCATCACATTTACAATCATCTTCTATCCTGTTGATAGTCAACTACTAGAATAGTTTTCTTCCTGTTCAAATAAAAAAGGAAAACATATTACACTTTAGCTTCATACAAAGAATAACGACATCTCTAGTTCATATTACTTCCTGGATTGTCACATGCATTTATAAAACTGAATTCTTTACATACTTTCTTGTACCCTCATTATTGTCCTATTAAAATCCATGACATCAAAATATATTTCATGGCTTTCACAAAGTGACAATACATGTTTTGAACTAAATTTCTTTCTTAAACTTGTGCTGTTAATTGAAGGCAATTCAAGGGTGATATTCCAGTAGAAAGTATGAATGGGACGCACCCACAGCCTGAACTTTAAAAAAGGCATCATGGTAATTAAATGCTATCCTTAACGCCACAGCTGTCTTCCATAACAGTGGTCTGCGATACAAAATTGAAACCAGAGACAGTTTTTGAAATTGTTATCTATTTAATTGTCAAGTCACCAGAAATAATTAAAACATGATTTTTTAATGTTTTATCAGTATATATAATTATTCCTTCAAGAATGTACCTCCTACCAAACCTTCCCAGGTAACTCCCAGAAGGGTCAGTGTTTACAATGCTCTCCCCTCTAAACTATTCTAAATATGCCATGTTAGTGTTTTTCATGTCTATCAGTCCAAATAAAGGGAACTTCAGACAGCCTTATAAGGTAAAATCTGGAGAACAGGTAAATTGATGGTTACATGAGAAATTTTGACACTCAACTGTACAATTAAATTTGATTTTCTCTCTGTGGTCTGTGAGTGGGCTCTAACCTTTACCACAGGCAACATGTTGAGTCTTAAAACAGTCTGGTGTAGAGATGTGAGGTCATTGTAGGGTGGATATCAGTTATCACAAGTACCGTCATATCTTAATCTAAACACCTTTTCATGATTACAACATCCCATTACTTTTTTATCTTTGTGTGTGACTTTTTAAATGAAAAGAATTGAGTTACTACAACAGTCAGTGACAATTTTACATATGGAAAGAATTTGTTGACTAGAACAATCTGTGACTATTTGATAATGTGGAAAGAATTTGTTAATCTTCTATAAAGAAGTTTCCTATCTGCAATTACACCAATTTTGGTGGCATCATGTCTGGTCTAGTGACAGCATTGTTTATGACCGATACCTAATTAAGAAAATATGTTGGACACATTATTTCTCTACTCACTATAAATTTATGTATGCTTTTTACATTATTTCTCTACTCACTATAAATTCATGTATGCTTTTTACATTATTTCTGTATTCACTATAAATTTATGTATACTTTTTCCATTATTTCTCTACTCACTACAAATTCATGTATGCTTTTTACATTATTTCTCTACTCACTATAAATTCATGTATGCTTTTTACATGATTTCTCTATTCACTATAAATTCATGTATGCTTTTTACATTATTTCTCTATTGACTATAAATTCATGTACACTTTTTACATTATTTCTCTACTCACTATAAATTCTATGCTTTTTAAATATAAATTCATGTATGCTTTTTACATTATTTCTCTATTCACTATAAATTCATGTATGCTTTTTACAAAGTACATTTGCAAATAATGGTTATCAATGATTTTTTTCCCAAAAATAACTGCATGTATGAAACACGTTTTTTTTTTTTATATTTCAAATTATTTCATATTGTGTACATCATGTTATTCTTATATATTTTTAAAATAGTGAAACAAAATTAATAGCCAAAAAAATTTGCTGTAGGATAGTTGGTTACTTAGGCAAAGTCAGTGTATTCAACCAACACACTGAACTATACAGGTAAAATGACACAGGTAAACTGTATAGATATAATATCAAAGATTTACCTACAAGTATGATCTACCTGTTGTGTAATACTTACATCACAACAGCACATATATGATGTAGCATTATGCTAAAAATAATACATTTTAAAATGAGATTTCTTTGGTACCTCCAGGAACATTAGTTTGTTAGTGAGACTAGTTGAAGAGATTACTTGAAGTTGGGTACATGGTGTAACTGTAATGCATGATGGCTGAAGGTCATGTGTAAAACCTTGAAGGGTAGTTGTGTACCCGTCACATGAGAGTCAACAGAGTCGACATGTGATACAGCGTAAATACAATCATGCTTAGTCACTATCTCCCCTTATAAAGTAAATCAGGATGACAAATATTTTGTACCTGAAGTTCTGCCTAACTACACACAATACACAAAATCTACACCAGTCGCTGACTAATACCCATCTACACCCTTATCAACTTTTAGTTCTTACAACATTTATTGACATACAAATGGCTGTCAATTTTTATTTAGTCGCTACAGGTGTTGAAGCATTTTATCACAACAAAAACCTCTAAATCAGGTGACAATGACTCTGTGCTGACTAACTCCACGTGTCATGATGTTCTATGTTACAGTTTTATACGCCAATTGTACACTTTAAAATTTCGTCCTTGAATGATTTCTGTAGAAACAAGATTTGACAAAAGCATTAATCCATAGAAGCAGTTCCACAGACAGCCACATGACCAAATCTAATTGTTGTTTTACTTACTGTCATGGAAAAAACAATCAATATATATTAAGTGCCCATCTCTACTGTAAACTGTGTGATCACGTTTGTGGAAGTATCAATCTAGGAAAGATATTAGCTGCACTGTGACCAGCCAGGCACATTAACATCACAACCAGCACTTCTGTTGTCACACACCATGAACTTGTCTCAACCAGAAAATCTTAATATGCAAATCTATGCAGATTATTGTGCAAGAAGAATTGATGATAATAGGTATTGTCTCTATGGAGAACACTACTTCATTTTTTTTTTTTTCACTACAAAATAAAATTTGTGTTGTTTGATTAGCTACTGTAAAATCAATGTAATTTATTGCCAGGACAGGTACAAGTTACATACTCAATATGCATTGTACATGACTACTAAACTTTTTATAACAATATACTGTTATGACTAGTGGCATTTGTTATTGAAATTCTGTTCCTAAATTTAGTAATTACACTACCCTCGACACTGAAATAAGTTTGACAAATAACTTAGATAATTCATAATAAAGCTTTCACAAAAATGTATGAAATATTTACAAAATTTCATTAAATAAAATTCAAACATAATATAGTGCATAAACCATTATCATGTGTCAGCATATAATCTGATAGGTGACCATATGGTTATAAGTCCATTCCTACAGAAATAGTGTCTACTTCAAAATTCCCATCTTAATGTGTACATATATAAAATTATCTTATAATATGCAAATATAGACCCACTGACAGGGTGACAAACAATCATAAATACAAGTTTTACATAGATATAATATAAAGTATTGTTAAGTCATGGTTATCTTTTCTATAGAGTAACACAAATATGTAGATACCTGTCCGGTATTTACCTGTGTAATAATAAAAAAAATACCTGGGATGATCAAATGTATAATAGACAAGGAATCAATAACACTGTTGTTGATCAGTTCTGAATTCCAAGCACAAAGATCTGTTTTTGGTAACTTACCTCCACAGTATACCACTGCCACATAGCAGGTCTATACACTGCAAATTACAGGCCACAAATTTTTGTTTGATGAATCAACAGGTGAAAATTTACCTGGTAGCCTTAAGTTGTGACAGGTAGTTAACAACAGGTTCACTTTGTACATTAACCCTTTGTTAATAATAGCTATATCTAAGGTTTTTTCAAAGTCCTTGATACATATTATTTTTTATAATTCATCATAGATATTGTCATGGTCAGAAAATCTTAACATTATATATTGATCAAACTTTGTACTAAACGTAAAAACTGTAGCTTATCTATAACTTTGTACTACAATGTTGTCTATAAGTTCTTCTATATTAAATAGTTCTAATTCTATATGTACCAGTATTGTCAAATTTTGACACATGCATATGTTCTATTGTATATGTATGATATAACAAATTAATGCAAGGATTAAACTGTGACTATAACTACGAACAGATCACTCACATCTCATATTACCTTTACTGCGTCAATATTTAAATGTGATGGCCGGGAAAACACGTTACCTAGATTTAAAGGTCAATGAGTAATATCTATATATAATTTCAAATCAGTATATTGGACATTTAATCAAATCAGGTTAAAAAATAATACCTCAAACTTACTGTGTGTATTAAAGATTTCTGAAAGGACAATATCAATACCTTTTAGTTTCCCGATACAAATGATGTGATTCATGACTAAGGCATTGCCTAAATATCAGGATACAAACAAACTCTCCCATTATGGAATACACAGTATATTAACATACTACGATGGCACTAGGTTTTCCCAAATGGTTTTTCCATCAGATTTCCCCACTGAACAATCAGGATAATCCATGATACATCAAATTACAGATGACCAAGTAATACCCATGATGATTAATTAAGTCTTGTTATCTTTATGAACAATAACTTCTTTTGCCTTAGACCTGTTTTTCAAAACTAATTTTGTAAATGAACTTATACATTTAACTTGAGATCACATTACGTTTGTCTTCTCTCTTTTCTTCGATATTTTCTGGGAAAATAGCACTTGTTTGACCATGTGGGTGAAATATTTGTTAAGGTATAATTACTGTAGAGGTATCATTTCTAAGAGGCAGGGCTGGGCTACATACTATGACCAGGGTTCCATAGTATTAATGTATAATACATGGAGATACAGAAATATACATGGAATTTATGACAAGGAAGTTACTTGTTCCTTGAAAATATAAAAGGATATGTTACAATTCTATACTATAACCAGGAAATCAGTAAATTTTATGTATAGTGACTGTAAAAGAGATAATATCTAGAAAGTATCATATTGTGAGAATTATAGTGCATTTTCAGGAAAAACTTTCATTTTTATACAATTTTATACAATTATGACTGGTAATTCAAATCTGAAACATTCTGATCAACATACATTACTGTATATGATGCAGAGTGCTTTATCAATTGATATTTTGACATTTTAACACATGTGATAAAGGATGACAACATTTC